AGCAACATTTAAAACTGAAAGCTCCTTATTTAGCCGAGGCATGACAGTATGACCCGATATTTAGGATGTTTCCCTCCTGATGGCCCGGTTCCACAGGAACCAGAACTTCAACAAATGCTGCTCCAAGAACCACAGAACGTTCAGAAAACCTCCAAGACACCGAGAAAAACTTCCTTCTTCACCAAATGGAAACAAAATGGAATCGACAAATTTTAGCATCTTTGGCTAAAGACCAGGACCCGTTTCCGCTGCTAGCGCTAGGCTCGCATGTTAGCTATGGTTGTATTTACCCAGAATGCCCTGCGCTGCAGTCCACTTCCTGCTTTTGGAGCGGTCTCCAGTCTGCTTGCTGTTCACATTTAAACCAGACCGAGGTTTGGAGGACCAGAGGTCGATTTGCATTCACACCTCACCAATGGAACCGGACTTTGACTAGACTGATGGACTGGAGTTGGATTGAACTGGGCTGGTGTGAACGCAGCCTGAGATGTTCTGATCTAAATCTTTCCTGAATGAAGTCAATCTGAAGGCCTTTCTGGGATGAACTGGATCTGGTTCCGGATCACTTAATAATCTGTGATTGATCATAATTGATGTTATAATTTTTTTTTTTACCATGTTCTGGTTCTGAAATGGTCCAGAACTTTTAGCTCTTCAGCAGCACTGAAACACCGTCCCAGTCAACAGCGTGTCCTCTATCCTCCGCACTGCAGATGAACGTCTGATGCTGGAGCCAGGCGGAGCAGAGAGACGGGCCGGTCCGGTCCAAACGGTGGCTCTGTTCAGTCAGTTGGTTAGCGGGCTGCAGGGTGGGGAGGCTCGGCCCGTTGGTAGCCGAGTGTTGGACGCTCAATGCCGTCCCCTGAATGGCTCGCCGTGTCACGTTTAATGAACGCCTCCATGGCGGGATTTCTGACCGCTGTAATCTCAGAGCGGCTCGTCTCAGTTCGCTGGAGGGGAAACGAGGAGAACGGAGACGTTTTGCCGGTCGCATGGCGTTTCAGAACCGGGTCATAAACGCTCCTGTCGCCCTTCATCCTCTTCCTCACAGGCCTCCAAACGCATCGCCGTTATTCAGCTTCACTGACCTAAAGAACACGCTGTTCTGCTCTCTCATTGGCTCGTTAGGGTGCTGATGGCATCAAAGTACCCGGATGGCCTGACGGGACGAATCGAGTTCAACGACGACGGCGACCGCCGCTTCGCCACCTACAGCATCCTGAACCACCAGAAGGCGGGGCGCGTCATCCAGGTGGGAGTGTTCAACGGGACGCAGGTACAGTTCACCTGGAGGCCAGACGCTCAGTGAGCCTTTGTGTCACAGTGAGACAGGCTGCTCTTCCTCCTCTTCCTCACTCTGCAGGTGGTGATGAATCCTCAGAGGAAAATCATCTGGCCTGGAGGAGAGACGGAGAAACCAGTGGGATACCAGATGTCCACCAGGCTGAAGGTTCTGCAGAAACACACACACACACATGCACACATACACACATACACACCCACCCACCCACCCAACCACACACACACACACACCACACACACACACACACACACACACACACACACACACACAGTCGTGTTGTCATCACTTGTGGCTTCCATTCATTTCTACAGCCTTCCTCTTACCCTAACTCAGTGCTTCCCAAAGTGTGGGGTGCGCCCCCTGGGGGCGCAGTGACATTGTCGGGGGGTGCGAGAAGCAGTACGGACGCTTCCCACAACAAAAACTGTGACACAAAAGTGTTTCACTGGAAAGATGGTTTGTAGTTTGTCTTGTTGCAACCTGAATGTGAAATAAACTTCAGTGGTGAAAGCAACAAAATACGTGTTTAGGTTTATGTCTGATTGAAAGTTGATTCTTTTCTATCATCTATGGATAACTCTATTGTGATCCATAGAGGAGCCAGAAGAAAGTCTTTGTGAACCTCTTTGGGAACCACTGGTCTAACCTTTACCACAAACCTAACCATCACAGACTGAACCACTAACCCAAACACAATTTCCCTCATGGGAACCGAGAAAACGTCCCACAAGGAGCCATGGTCCCTGTAACTCCATACTGCAGAGAAAAATAGGTTCCCATAAAAATATGAAAGCTCTGGTCCTCCGTCTTGGTTCTGACCCGGTTTGGGTCGCTGTGTACAGATCGTGACGATCCACCAGGAGCCGTTTGTTTACGTGAAGCCGACGCAGAGCGACGGGACGTGTAAGCAGGAGCACACGGTGAACGGAGTCATGATCAAGAAGGTGATCTGTACCGGACCCAACGGAACCATCCCAGGTACAAACACACCCAGAGCCAGAACCTCCAGACGGGTCCGGCTGACAGCTGTCCAGGCGGTTCTGACGGTGATGTGATTCTGGTTCTGCAGGTCAGCCCATCGTTCCTCAGTGTTGCTACGGTTTCTGCATCGACCTGCTCATCAAGCTGGCCATGAGCATGAACTTCACCTACGAGGTTCACCTGGTGGCCGACGGCAAGTTTGGCACGCAGGAACGGGTGAGGCTCCTTCCACGACCGGACCGGACCGGACCGGACCGGTCCCCGGTCTGATACCAGTCGACTCCTCGTTGGAGGATTTGCTGAGTTGAGATATGAACATATTATTTACGTTGTTAAACAACATTACATCAAGTTCCACTACAAGGACTGTTATTCTTTAATTCTTTGCCATTTTAGCAAAAATAGTAAAAGATTATTAAGGCACTAAAAAGGCAACTTCTGTTAGACTAAATCAGGGCTGTTCAGCACATCGATGGCGGTTTTCAGGTTTTGAGTCTCTGCAGCAGGTGACAAACCGAAGACCAACAGGAAGCTGAGAGCAGAACTTCCTGTTCTGACAGGCTTATCAAAATATTCACTAAGATCCTAAACATTTGTAGCTTCATTAAAGAATCATAAAATATCAACAAAACATGTTAAAATGAATATGATCAGTAATTATTGTTAAGAAAGACCGACTGACAGCAGATCAGGAGTTTAAAGCAGCCAATCAGCCGCCGCTGAGTTCATGAGAGGCTCATTAATAATCAATACATATGAAGCCTGGAAACCTGATATCGTAACGGACTGAATGTTTTCACCTAATCTCTGCTCGTATTGAGCATATTGAGGTCAAAGTTCACATCCACCATCACTGACTGCAACCAGCTTGTGACTGAGAAACCAGTAACCTACTGAAACCAGTAACCTACTGAAACCAGTAACCTGTTGAAACCAGTAACCTACTGAAACCAGTAACCTGCTGAAACCAGTAACCTGCTGAAACCAGTAACCTACTGAAACCAGTAACCTGCTGAAACCAGTAACCTGCTGAAACCAGTAACCTACTGAAACCAGTAACCTGCTGAAACCAGTAACCTACTGAAACCAGTAACCTGCTGAAACCAGTAACCTGTTGAAACCAGTAACCTGCTGAAACCAGTAACCTACTGAAACCAGTAACCTGTTGAAACCAGTAACCTACTGAAACCAGTAACCTGTTGAAACCAGTAACCTGCTGAAACCAGTAACCTACTGAAACCAGTAACCTGTTTAAACCAGTATCCTACTGAAACCAGTAACCTATTGAAACTAGTAACCTGCTGAAACCAGTAACCTGTTGAAACCAGTAACCTGCTGAAACCAGTAACCTGCTGAAACCAGTAACCTACTGAAACCAGTAACCTGCTGAAACCAGTAACCTGCTGAAACCAGTAACCTACGGAAACCAGTAACCTGTTGAAACCAGTAACCTGCTGAAACCAGTAACCTGCTGAAACCAGTAACCTACTGAAACCAGTAACCTGTTGAAACCAGTAACCTGCTGAAACCAGTAACCTGTTGAAACCAGTAACCTACTGAAACCAGTAACCTGTTGAAACCAGTAACCTACTGAAACCAGTAACCTACTGAAACCAGTAACCTATTGAAACCAGTAACCTGTTGAAACCAGTAACCTACTGAAACCAGTAACCTATTGAAACCAGTAACCTTTTGAAAGCAGTAACCTACTGAAACCAGTAACCTACTGAAACCAGTAACCTGCTGAAACCAGTAACCTACTGAAACCAGTAACCTGCTGAAACCAGTAACCTACTGAAACCAGTAACCTGTTGAAACCAGTAACCTGCTGAAACCAGTAACCTACTGAAACCAGTAACCTGTTGAAACCAGTAACCTGCTGAAACCAGTAACCTGTTGAAACCAGTAACCTACTGAAACCAGTAACCTGTTGAAACCAGTAACCTACTGAAACCAGTAACCTATTGAAACCAGTAACCTGTTGAAACCAGTAACCTACTGAAACCAGTAACCTATTGAAACCAGTAACCTGTTGAAACCAGTAACCTACTGAAACCAGTAACCTGTTGAAACCAGTAACCTGCTGAAACCAGTAACCTACTGAAACCAGTAACCTGTTGAAACCAGTAACCTATTGAAACCAGTACCTTGTTGAAACCAGTAACCTACTGAAACCAGTAACCTACTGAAACCAGTAACCTGTTGAAACCAGTAACCTACTGAAACCAGTAACCTGCTGAAACCAGTAACCTACTGAAACCAGTAACCTGCTGAAACCAGTAACCTGTTGAAACCAGTGTCCTACTGAAACCAGTAACCTACTGAAACCAGTAACCTACTGAAACCAGTAACCTGCTGAAACCAGTAACCTGTTGAAACCACTAACCTACTGAAACCAGTAAACTGTTGAAACCAGTAACCTACTTAAACCAGTAACCTACTGAAACCAGTAACCTGTTGAAACCAGTAACCTACTGAAACCAGTAACCTCCTGAAACCAGTAACCTACTGAAACCAGTAACCTGTTGAAACCAGTAACCTGTTGAAACCAGTAACCTACTTAAACCAGTAACCTACTGAAACCAGTAACCTGCTGAAACCAGTAACCTACTTAAACCAGTAACCTACTGAAACCAGTAACCTACTGAAACCAGTAACCTGTTGAAACCAGTAACCTACTTAAACCAGTAACCTACTGAAACCAGTAACCTGCTGAAACCAGTAACCTACTGAAACCAGTAACCTACTGAAACCAGTAACCTGTTGAAACCAGTAACCTGCTGAAACCAGTAACCTACTGAAACCAGTAACCTGTTGAAACCAGTAACCTGCTGAAACCCTGAAACTGCTTTAACCAGTAACCTACTGAAACCAGTAACCTGTTGAAATCAGTAACCTACTGAAACCAGTAACCTCCTGAAACCAGTAACCTACTGAAACCAGTAACCTACTGAAACCAGTAACCTGTTGAAACCAGTAACCTACTTAAACCAGTAACCTACTGAAACCAGTAACCTACTGAAACCAGTAACCTACTTAAACGAGTAACCTACTGAAACCAGTAACCTGCTGAAACCCTGAAACTGCTTAAACCAGTAACCTACTGAAACCAGTAACCTACTGAAACCAGTAACCTGTTGAAACCAGTAACCTACTGAAACCAGTAACTGCTTAAACCAGTAACCTACTGAAACCAGTAACCTACTGAAACCAGTAACCTGTTGAAACCAGTAACCTACTGAAACCAGTAACCTCCTGAAACCAGTAACCTACTGAAACCAGTACCTGTTGAAACCAGTAACCTACTGAAACCAGTAACCTCTGAAACCAGTAACCTACTGAAACCAGTAACCTACTGAAACCAGTAACCTACTGAAACCAGTAACCTGTTGAAACCAGTAATCTACTTAAACCAGTAACCTACTGAAACCAGTAACCTCCTGAAACCAGTAACCTACTTAAACCAGTAACCTACTGAAACCAGTAACCTTTTGAAACCAGTAACCTACTGAAACCAATAACCTACTGAAACCAGTAACCTGCTGAAACCAGTAACCTACTTAAACCAGTAACCTACTGAAACCAGTAACCTGTTGAAACCAGTAACCTACTTAAACCAGTAACCTACTGAAACCAGTAACCTACTGAAACCAGTAACCTGTTGAAACCAGTAACCTACTGAAACCAGTAACCTACTGAAACCAGTAACCTGCTGAAACCAGTAACCTGCTGAAACCAGTAACCTGTTGAAACCAGTAACCTGCTGAAACCCTGAAACTGCTTAAACCAGTAACCTACTGAAACCAGTAACCTACTGAAACCAGTAACCTGTTGAAACCAGTAACCTACTGAAACCAGTAACTGCTTAAACCAGTAACCTACTGAAACCAGTAACCTATTGAAACCAGTAACCTATTGAAACCAGTAACCTACTGAAACCAGTAACCTGCTGAAACCAGTAACCTGCTGAAACCAGTAACCTGTTGAAACCAGTAACCTACTGAAACCAGTAACCTGTTGAAACCAGTAACCTACTTAAACCAGTAACCTACTGAATCCAGTAACCTGCTGAAACCAGTAACCTACTTAAACCACTAACCTACTGAAACCAGTAACCTGTTGAAACCAGTAACCTGTTGAAACCAGTAACCTACTGAAACCAGTAACCTGTTGAAACCAGTAACCTACTGAAACCAGTAACCTACTGAAACCAGTAACCTGCTGAAACCAGTAACCTGTTAAATCCACTAACCTACTGAAACCAGTAACCTGTTGAAACCAGTAACCTACTTAAACCAGTAACCTACTGAAACCAGTAATCTGTTGAAACCAGTAACCTACTGAAACCACTAACCTCCTGAAACCAGTAACCTACTGAAACCAGTAACCTACTGAAACCAGTAACCTGTTGAAACCAGTAACCTGTTGAAACCAGTAACCTACTTAAACCAGTAACCTACTGAAACCAGTAACCTGCTGAAACCAGTAACCTACTTAAACCAGTAACCTACTGAAACCAGTAACCTGTTGAAACCAGTAACCTACTGAAACCAGTAACCTCCTGAAACCAGTAACCTACTGAAACCAGTAACCTGTTGAAACCAGTAACCTACTTAAACCAGTAACCTACTGAATCCAGTAACCTGCGGAAACCAGTAACCTATTTAAACCAGTAACCTACTGAAACCAGTAACCTGTTGAAACCAGTAACCTGCTGAAACCAGTAACCTGTTGAAACCAGTAACCTACTGAAACCAGTAACCTGTTGAAACCAGTAACCTACTGAAACCAGTAACCTGTTGAAACCAGTAACCTACTGAAACCAGTAACCTACTGAAACCAGTAACCTGCTGAAACCAGTAACCTGTTGAAACCACTAACCTACTGAAACCAGTAACCTGTTGAAACCAGTAACCTACTTAAACCAGTAACCTACTAAATCCAGTAACCTGCTGAAACCAGTAACCTACTTAAACCAGTAACCTACTGAAACCAGTAACCTGTTGAAACCAGTAACCTGTTGAAACCAGTAACCTGTTGAAACCAGTAAACTGCTTAAACCAGTAACCTACTGAAACCAGTAACCTACTGAAACCAGTAACCTATTGAAACCAGTAACTTGTTGAAACCAGTAACCTACTGAAACCAGTAACCTACTGAAACCAGTAACCTGTTGAAACCAGTAACCTACTGAAACCAGTAACCTCCTGAAACCA